ATCCAACCCAACCCGCCCCGCCCCGTTCCATGCCTAGTGACAATGAGTGAGTATATTGATTCATGGTATTTTGATAGGATACTTCTCAAAAAAGAGAAAAAAAATGTAATTGCAATAAACATTTTCCCCTTCCCTTTTTGTTACTCTGCACTGCAAATTGGAGATGACAAATGGGTTTAAACCCATTTGTTTTTCTTACTTCTGTTGGGCTTCTTTAGGTTGTTGCTTCCTACACTCCCATAATTTCTTCATGCACCCCATAATTATATTAAACTCAATTTTACCCTTACACTTATCTTCATCTTCTTAATGTATTCCGGAAATACTTTTTGAGAAATACATTCTAAAACATCCAATCCAAAATACGTTTTTGGAAAGGCTTTTCTGGAAACATATTCCAAAACACTCAATTCATAATACATTCCTGGAAAGACTTTTTTAGAAACGCATTCCAAAACACCAATTCTTGAATGCATTTCCAAAAAGCCAATCTGGAACACACAATCGGAATGCATTTTTGGATTGACTTTTCTAAGAATATATTTTGGAACATTCAATCTGAAATATATTTTTGGGATTAACTTTTCCGAAATTCAATCTCATATTTGCCACATTGTTTTATATTGAACAATTTGGGTCTATTTGTGTAATTTGAGTGCAGAAATATATAATTCATACATAATATTAACGATTACTAACATTTAATTATTAGAAAAAGTCTTTAATGAAGATAATAGCATAACAAAATCAAATAGTTAAAGGATGAAGGTGTAAAAGTTGCACACTAATAGAAGAAGAAAAAAAAGTTAGAATAAAAACCAAAATTATAAGAAGAATATTTTAAATACTTAACTTAATATAGAGGTGTAAGAAAAAATTACTAGGTGTATGAAGGAAGAGCCTATCCTTCTTATACTAACTTTGCTAATCAGATACTAATCTAAGCCCAATTCAAGGAATTAAGATTAATGAATTGCAACAAATTTTCAATATTTATTTTGACATAGGTTAAACTTTATGGTTGTGCGTAAAAAATATAATAATAAATTTTACCGTAAATAAAACTACACAATGATTTATTGTAGTAATGTTTTAATAATTTTATATTTGATTAAATAATTTAAACTAAAAGACAGAGTGTTACATTATTATTATGAAAATTTTGGAGCCCAATGTCATTCTACAATATGATTAGATGAATTTTAGGAGAGGATAAAAAAGGGAAAAAATAATTTTACAAGTTAAATTAGTTTATGAAAAAGTAAAAAATAAAATATATATAAGTTATGTGCAAGAGTTTCTATAAATTTTGCTTATAAACAAAATAGTTTTAATTTACGGAGAAATTAATTTCAATGTTTCAAGAGTTGTTTTCATAAACTCATTTAAATATATTTGTAGTATATAAGGTGTAATTAAACCTATGATCCGGTCCAATAAAAGATTATTGGGTTACAAGTTTTCTTAAAAAATATATTAAAATTTTTTATTTAACCTTTCACTCTTCTCTCCTCCAACTATATTCCATGATTCATACGTTCCTTAATATCTTTAGACCCATTACCAATTCTTCCAATTATTTTTTTTAAATATATTATTTTTTTCTTCCTATTTTTCTAAGGAAAAAAAAGAAAAAAGAAGAGACAAGACATTATATAAGGAAAAGGAATCCTAAGTATTCTCAACCCCTCTTCTCTTTATTTTTATTTATTTAATTATCTATTTATTTTGATAGGTTTATTTTTATTTTTATATTGATGCTTAAATTATTACCATTTATAGTTAAGTTTTTATACAATCAATATTATTTTTACCTATATAAAATTTTGTCCCACATTTACATATTTTTTTCATTTTATCCTAATTGGATCGTGGACCTTATTTCTATGATTTGACAATATACTTCCACATTTATACCGTTTTTTTTATTTAGTTTTAATTGAGTTGTGGATTTTATTTCTATGATTTAATAATATACTTTTATATAATTTTTTATAGCTGTTATTACACTTCAAATATATAAAAATAATTATTTCAAAAATCTTTTTCTTTTTGTTATTATAAAACATTTTAAAATTTAAATTAAAAATATAAAATTATAAGAAATTGATGAGTGTTTAACATGTTAATCATGTATTTTTTGTGTTCTAATATATGTATCAAGTGTCTTTCATATATGTTTATTTTAGACAGTGCAAAAATTGTGTGACAAGCTTTCTCCTTTTTTTTATTTGTTTATTTTTATTATATATTTTCTTATAATTTAATGTTTAATATAAATTATTACAAAATTAAGATAAATCTATGACTATTATTTTTAAATAACTTTTTCTTTTTTGTGTATCTGTTTATTTTTATTATTTATTTTATTGTAATTTAATGTTTAATATAAATTATTACAAAATTAAGGATGAAATAAAAGATAAATCTATTACTATTATTCTTAAATAACTTTTTTCCTTTTTTTGTATCTGTTTATTTTTACAAAATTAAGAATAAAATAAAAGATAAATATATGTCTATTATTCTTAAATAAATAAATATTGTTTAAAACATTATTCTCTTCAAAACAATAGAATATAATAAGATTGACCATCTTATATTTTGCAACATTAAAAAAAAAGAGAGTATATAAACCAAATTCTAAAAATATAAAAAAAACATTAACTTCAACAAACAAACATTAACTTATACAAAAAATATAGGTCATTTCTTATACAAAGAATATACGTCATAGCTAAATAAAAGGAGCATTAATTTGAACCAACAAGGAAGAAATCCAATTTGGAGTACTAACCAAAGGAGCATAGGCAGAAACGTAGAAAAACTAAAAACCCAGTCTCTTGCTGAACGAGATTCTCGTTCTCTTTTCCAAGTCCAGTTATTGAACCTTGCTCTACTCAATCCCAAGTACTCGTATACGCTACCTTCCTTGATAGACCTAGAATGTACTATCTCTAGCCGTGAATTCAATATACCAACATTTAACATATGAGAGATAAACGAGATCCATTGTACAAGTATGCTATTTCAATCTGTCCATGCTATCAATATCAATTATTGATGTATATTTTGGTAAGCGTATCAATGGTTACAAAAGTAATCACATTATAATCTTCAAAGATTGAATATTTGTTGAATATTAGATCATTAATTTTACCTAAGTTTAAGTAATCAAAATTTGAATAATCAAAAAGTAAAATAATGACAACAGAAAAATTATTTTTCTTTGCAGTAAAATATATGTCAGAAGATTGATTTCATATTCCTTCTTACAAATTTTTAGCCCATTTAATTCATACAAGAATTAGATGAGTTAAAAATGTTATTTACTTCTTAATTCCTTAGGTAAGCAAAATTATTCAATGAACTTTTAATTTCCCAATTCCTTGGAATAAGAAAAATTTACTGAAACTTGAATAATTAATAATCTCCTCCACAAAAACTAGTTAAGTTTGCGTAATTTTTCAATTAAACAAAAACTCAACTTATTTCATCTAACAACATAGATAATGTCAAATTTTCCAAATATAACTGCTTAAAATTGAACATAAAAAATCATAGATAAGATACTTGAGTAAATAAAATTACACTGCATCAAATTAAATAGGTTTAGAATTTGTCTTACAGAATACTACATCAACCCTCTAACAAAAGAAAAGTTTAACCTTCCTAAAAGCTGCTCCTCCAAAATCTCTACTATCCTTCTTATATGCTTCCACAATGTAATTCCTATTTTTAACTCCCTCCTCCTTTTCACGTCAGCCCTTTTTCTTTTTTTCTAGCTACTCCCTTCTTTTTCCTTTTTAGGCCAAGTCCAATAACAAAAAGGAATTACACTGCCAGCTTATGAATGACGTCAGCTACGCAAGTCTCACAAAATTTGTTCTAAATGCACCTGTTTCTCAACAAAACAAAGAAATTACACGAAAAGTTAAATACAACTTTAATGCATGAAAATATTATTCAAATACTACAAAAATGCAAGCAATTGACTTAATTTAATTTATAACTGTGAAGTGAAATAAACATACATCAACTACACAGGGTTATTCAATTACGTTTGATTCAAGACAAGCAAGAAGCTTCCAATACACTACATGTGGACATCTTATATTAATAGACAAGCTGGAGAGACCGACATAGGGCTACCAAAAGCTCACTTTAATTTAATATAATATAAAAAAGAAAAAAATTACATAACCATAATTTTCTATCATCAATAAATACATGGGAATAAGATTAATTCTGGTCAGACTCAAATAAAATATTTTTAATATATTTTATTTATTTTTCCGCATTTAATACTTAGGGAAAAAATAAACATTTTAAAAAATAACATTATTTCGCATATTTAACTAAAGTAATCATCTTATAATACTTAGGGAAATATAAATATTTATAAATAATAACATTTTACACATATAGGGGAAAATAAATATTTATAAACAATAACATTACACATTTAACTAAAGATAATCATTTTAAGACGAACATTATAAGATATTAATATCTTCCTTATGCGTAATCGATTCTCGGATCCAAATTTGGTTTGAAATACCATTTTAAAAAAAAATTCTATGATTTTACTTAATAAATTATAACCACCACTCCATTTTTTTAAACTTTATATCTACTTATATAAGAGCTAAATGTAATTAGTAATTAATATAATTATTTAAATTTAATTAACATATTTGTGATGTTACCTTACTTTAATAAATATATATTGGTTTGGTTGTTAATGCAAATTCTTGTTAAAATACATTATTCTTTTAATTGTTTTATTTCTTGTCCTATAAACGTTTATGAACAACAAGTTGTATCCAATGAGTGCCTTCCCGTATATAGGTTTCATAAACTCAAATTAAATCACCTTGAGGAGCTCCAATAGTGTTTACTGAGCAGATCTTTTTGTGAAGAATACCAGCAATATAGTTTAATAGTTTAAAAAAGGTTTCACTATAAAATATTTTCTCATGTGCTATGAAGACGTAAGATCAAATCCTTGAATCTAACAGTCTCCAATTCTTCACACTTTGGCTCAGAGGAGAAGGAACACTAGCTGACCAAGAGTTCAAATCAGGCAAAGGTCCTGTAAGTGCCATAAAATTTGCACCATTTTCCTTTGGCATTCTCTTCCAACTTAGCTGAGAAATTCAAACATCAACTGTAAGCAAGATGACATTACAAAATTACTATATGAGATCAGAAACAGAAGCATTACCTGTCCAGGAAATGCTTTGGATAGTGCTTTCAATGCTGGATTTAATAACCATGATTCACTTGGCAAAATTTCTGGATCAGTACTTTCATCCATGGCACTTGGCCCCCCACCAACACCCCCACAATTCACCATGAAGCGACCATCGGCCATCAATCTCTCTTGTAATTCCAACCAAGTACTAACCTGATGAATGCATTAAAAACTCTGAAACATGATGCTAAAATTCCTTGAGACAGTCAAAGTTAAATTTTTTATCACTCTGTCCTATAATTTCTCATGAAAAAGAGCAATTTAATAAGTTAAGCAGATCACTGTATGAATTTATTATATATAAATAAGAAGCTTAAATTTGACACCACTTTTGCGAAAATAGCAAGGTACACAAGCTGTCATTTGACTAAGAAGAACTTCACAATCACCTAGAACATGTTTATCTCTGTGTAGGAAAACCAAATACCTCTTGCAGCTGAGGCAAAACTTTTCCACCAGCGAACAAGTCAACTACAATGCCTGGTAATTGAACAAATATAAGTTGGTCAATAGCAACAAAATAATATCCCGTTCAAAAATGAGGAAATGAGAGATATTTTAATGGTGTATTGCTACTGCATGAATAAAGATCCCTCCACATGATCAATTGAATCATGCACTACTGCCTTGATATTTTCAATTAAACTGAGATGCATTGTTCAATTAATTTCCTTACAAGTGATGAAAACACAAACTAGGTACAGAGTTTCTTTCACTCAGAATAGAAGTATAGGTTGTAGAAAATATTTTGACTAGCTAGGTAGATAATAAAAGTAGTATGAGAAGCTAGATAAACCAGGCAATACGCAATATGAATGACTCACCAGCATATCTTCTGTGAAAATCCTTTGAGGGAACGAAGACATCACCAACATGAATATTTAAAACCCCACCATCTTCCGTGGTCTTCTCCAAATCAGACAGGCCAAAATAATCTCTCGCTTTATCAATCAACTACATTATTTTGTTTTTCAAGTCAGATAAGCAATTCACTCAAACTCTTGCTATTTTTTTCTTAGAACTTTTTTCAAGTCAGAATCAGAGCCCTAATCATTGAATTCATCAATGTTATTATCTGTGGATCACTGAAGTATAGATATAAATTTAAAACAGATAAAAAAGGCCATATATACACCATAGAAACTCCATTTAAATTTATTAAAAATATCTTTGCAGAAAAGAAGCATATATTACAATTTGATCAATCTCCCAGCCATCAAGTTGCAGTGAGGGCCATAAGTCAAGCATCAGATGAGCTGCAGTTCCACCGCCCTGCAGGATTTATAAGCAGTATGAAATTACTTACAAGATCACTGATATTTGGAAATTCCCAAAGACTATAATATGTGCCGTCTTAAAATTAAATGAATTACCAAACCTAAGATAGCAATGGGACCTTTTGGAACAATAGCTGGCAAGCTCGCAAATTCATCCTGTTTAATGCAACATGGTTATGAACTTTGGTATTGACCCTTAAGTAATAATACATGTTATTGCATATATACTTTGTTACCTTTACTAAACAGATCAGCCATATTGCGTAGTATTATTCAAAAGCATGTAATAAATACAATTATATTTTAAACTGTAAAACTCAATGGCCATCCGATGTCGCTAGTTCAGCATGAGAAATGATTAATTTCATTCTTGATAGGTTTCATTAGACAACGAATACCAGATCAGAGAACATGCTTGATCTTCAATATTGAAAAAGCATTAAAATTGCATCACCAGTTTCTTGCATCAAATAACAAATTTAAGACAAACTTTTGCTGTTAAATATGATAGGCTTGGCCCAAAGACCAGTTTAACACCGTGAAACAATTTGCTGGTGTGAACCCTGCTGTTCAATACTCAACATTGATACAGAGCTGCTATGTCAACAAATCCAAATCAATAGGGTGAGCTGAACACAGGAATTTTGTTTTACAAAAAGCAGTAGTAGTTCTCAACCCTGTGAATATGTCTACAAACTGCAAGCAAAATATGAACACAACTATATACACTTCCTACAATCAATATGAGCATGAATTTGATAATATATGAATCACACAGTAAGGGGAGAGTGTTTTTGACAATATTTTAAACCTTGACACTAAGCAATCCAAATATCATTACTTAATAAGAAAAAAGAAAGTTTTACTTTTACACAACATACACCACCCATTAACCTTTGGAGGTGCAAGAACGCATCAAACACACAAGCATACAGCAAAACAAACAATGTTAAGGTAGCATACATACCCAGTAAGAACCAGTCCATTTTGACTCATTGTAAAGAACACTGTGAACACTATCTGCAACAAAAGAACCACAAATTCTGATACATCAATCACCCTTGGCACACTGCTGAAGGAGACGGATCACAAACAAAAAAAATACAAACATTTACAAGGAAATGCAAAACTACATTTTGAATACTTTTCTGACCCAGATGATCGATGAAGTCAAGTTTGAATTTTTAAAAGCAATTTAGACTGAGAGAGAGAGAGGAGTACAAGATGAATCAAGGAGTAGCATTCTAGCTTTTGGGGTGTCCACTATGAGTATGTCGTTGTAATTTGTTTTGATTGATGAAACCAGTTGAATGTTCTCTTCTTCACCAGTTTCTAATTGTTGTTGTTGTTGTTGAGCAGCAACAGAAAACGAGAAGTGTGCATTGGAGTCTGAGTGATGGGTTGAGAGGAACAGACAGGGTTTTGGTGTTGGGATGAGAGAGTGAGTTGCAGCAATGGGAAACGGAAAAGACTTGAACTTGATGTCAATGCCCAAATGGGAAGGAGGCACCAATTTGGTTAACGGCAATGCGCACCCTCTCATCCTGTTCTTTTGCTTCACTGCCAATCCAAATGGATAAGTCAACTTAAAACTCCACCTCCAAATTCCAATTTACTTTTTTTTTTTTTTTCTTTTTCATTACATCACTCCTTCCTTGTTATCTTATTTCAATTTCTACTTTAATTAACTCATTTTTCTTAATACATTTTTTATAAAATAAAAAATATTTATTAAATTTAGTTATTTTAAAAAAATAAGCACTTTTTAGTTTATTTTAATAAGAAAATATATACTCCTTAAATAAGTGAAATTTTAAAAAACTAATTGTTTTTAAATTTAAGTAAACCGGTTCATCGTTTTAATAGAAATATAAGATTGAGTTTTTTAAGATTTTCTAAACATTTTTAAATTAATATGCTATTATTTTTAAGTTTAACTAAATTAGATTAATTTTAATTATTTAAAATTCAACCATCATAATTATTATAGGGCAAAATGAACTCTATTTGATAACATATAAGTTTTGTAATGTATGATTATGTTATGAAGAACATATATTTTATACATTTTTTTTCTTCTTTTAGAAATCTATATAAATCAACAATAAATCATGCCAACAAGTTGTAAAGAGAAGTGCTGATTAAGTAATTCGGGGTTGTTCATCCCAATTTGAAAATGGGTCAGATCAATATTTACTCTTTTAAAGCTTAAAGTTTTTGTTTAATTAGTATGAGTTAGTGAATTAGGTGAAGAATTACTAAGTCTATGTTTTGTTACAAATAAGAAAATGCGAATAAAAAAAATAAAATAAAATGGAATTTTTATTTATTTGTTTAAAAGGAAAGTTAGATAAAAAAAATGAAATTTATCATTTTAAAGAATAATAAGTAAATAAAAATTAAATAATTATACAACTATAATATTATTCTTATATTTATTTGGAAAGAGATAAAAAAAGGGAATTTTGAAAGATATAATTTTCTTTATAATTTTTATATATAAGTAAAAATACAATATGAGAGACATCAATTTTTTATTTATTTTTATTTTCTAACAATTAAGGAAATACAAATTAAATTATTAAAGATTGAAATAAAAAATATCTTACGGATCTATTCATTAATTTATAATTTTTTTTATTTCTCTAACGTAACCCGATTTGAATTCATATGACTTATTAAAACTTATCGTTAATACTCTAACTATTATTCACTTGATAAAATACAAATTAAAAAACAAAAAAAAAATTGAAGACGTTAGGGAATATATGTGTAATTAGGCCAACTTATTATATCAATAAATTATGAAGGATATGAAGAAAAACCAACAAAAATCCAAATTCATGAGAAAAAACTATAAAAATTGTTCATGGGCTAAGAATAAATTATCGTGAGTCAATTAAAAATGAAAATTAAATTAAAGTATTTATATTTTTTATATTGGATGTAAATATATTATTGTTATTTATTAATATTGTGTATTGTTAAAACTTATTTCTCAATTATGATACATTTGATTTGAAATATAAATTATGTCTAAATGTTAAAAATTTATAAAATTATATTTATTTTTAACTTTTAGTATTCTAAAATTATGTTATTATATTTGCATAATATTATTTTATGTAATAATAATGGTTATATTGTTATTATAAATAATAGTAATAATAATAATAATAATAATGGTTTATTCGTGCCATTTGATCATGGTTCAAAACCTTGAATGAATAATATAAATTATATTGTTATTATTAATTTGGTTTTGAAAACATTTTAACATGGATAAAAAGAAATAGAAAAATGTTCTTTTTAACCTTTTACAACACACAATCTTGTACACTTCCTTCTTTTACCGTGAACAGCAACTTCTTCTCTCCCACGTCTTACTCAGTGAAAGCTGCTTTGTGCTCTAACTTCAGTAACTTGGAGTAGCATGTTAATGCCTCAGTAGAAGTCCCACATTGTTACAGTGAGAAGTTTACACGCAGTTTAAATAGCCGTAGCCTCCCCAGCGGTTTGTCCCTTCGGGGACATCCGATAAAATTGGAACGATACAGAGAAGATTAGCATGGCCCCTGCGCAAGGATGACACGCACAAATCGAGAAATGGTCCAAATTTTTTTTATATTTCAAATCTCAAACAATCCTTTCGTCATTTTCTTTTGTCTGTTTATTGACTATTCTTTCTTACTCTCTTCATTTGCTTAGATTTTAGACTGTTAAATGCCACAATTTGTGGGCTTGTGGAAATTTGTGGCATGACTTTAGTAAGGTGGAGAATGGGAAGGAGTAGAAAGTGAAGATTGAAGTGCCTCTTTCTTTTTTAAGCAACACAGCAAAAAGTGATAAAAAAAGAGGATCTTTCTTGAAAACCTGTGGAGAAATTCCTTTTAGTTTAGGATATCATATCACTTTGGTTTTTGGTCTCCCTTTGAATTTCATAATAATACAGATAAATACCTTTCCTACGCAAATTGTATGTGGATACAGAGTTGACAATATGGCATTCCCTCGTACAGATTTCTGTACGAAACATGTCAGATAAATCATCAAGGGAGATCAAATATGATATCCCCACTGGACCTTCTCAATAGGGTTAGTTTTGAAAAAAGAATAAATTGTTTAATTTGCATTATTTGTTTCGCTATGCCATGAGGATTGTGAATCTTGTGATGATGGAATCATTGTTATATCTGTTTCGTTACATGCTAACAAGTGAATGACTTTGACGGCATGCTCATTTGTGGCTTCAAGAGTGGTTTCCTAACCCCCCTCAGACTTAATATGGGATCAAATATACAAATAAGACAAAAGAGATAACTTGAACTGCTTTCGATGCTTCTGTTTTAGGTGAGGTTTGGTCATACTTATACATTGAACTTAAATTGCATTAGTATTAAATTAGGTGCTAAAAAAACAATTATCCAACCCCAATTAATTAGGTATTTAGTAAGTAGGTGGTTAGATTAGAAGTAGTACTAGGCTGGATGTGACAAGATATCTATATTAGTATATGCTAACTAATGTTGAAGTAACATTATAGTTTGCTGGATTCTAGTTTAAAACCATAAATGTTACAGTTTACCTCTCTTTTAAGTGCCAAATAGGTTAGTCCCTGTCCACTTTCCACTGTTGTAGCTACTAGTCCTCTTCACCTCCTAACATTAGAAATTGCAAATGAAAACATTATTTATTTGATGCTGTTGGTTCACTTAAAGTATGTCTTTCTTCTTTCATTTTTGTTTACTTCTGCTTTAACCTTCTCATGTTTTTTGTTTGTAGGCAAGCATGCGACCTGCTCACTTATTAAGTCAATACTATCTTGGTTAAAACAGAAAAGGTTAGTGTGTGCAAAGTTTACCTTCTGAAATGTGCCAGATTCATTCTTTTCTTTTGGAAGGGAGAACCAGAAGAAAATGGGAAGGAGAGAAATTGGAGAAGCGAGTGGAGTTTGTTGATAATTTACTCTGGTCCAAATCGCATTAAAAAAGGCATTAACATGGCACATTAATGCTCTGGTAAGGATATTCTCACAGTGAACTGCTAACCACTCTTGTTATCTGGATTCCTCACTGGTTTGTTATTTATTTTATTGTTCTATATTGGTGTTGTTTCTGTTTTACAAATGCATGCCTTCTCTTGTTACAGGTATATGGAAATGAGCTCGCAGAATCTGTTTCGGCTGCAATGCCAAGATTGAACATAAGCTTTTTGAGATGCATGGGACTTGTTTGCTGCCCAAAATGCTTCTGTTTCCACACTCGCACGAAATGATAGAGGTTAAACTTTCTTCTGTAATTCATACACGAACACTTTTACTTATTTTCCGAGATTTTATGAAAGTAATGCTTGAATCTTTGTTCATTTCAGTGTATGGTAACAACTATTACCAATTTGGTTGTTATGAGTTCATCATGATTGGGTATTCATTCGTAATTCAAATACATGCTTACTTTTGAGATTGAGAGATCCTTTTCTCCCTCTCCTTTCGATTCAATCTTTCACAGACTTCTGATTCCTAAGAGTAACTCAGTAAGAAACATAGCCTGTAACGATGGAACGATCTTCACTAAGAGCATGCAATAATTTCTTCCTCTTATTCTTCTTCGAATGGACAACTTCACTACCGCGAAAATGAACCTCGAACAATTATTAGTATTTAGTTAAAGCAACTATGTTGAACTAAACCCAAACGTTCCTTTCTATACTATTTTGAAGTATATTATACAACAATGTCATATTCACCATGGCCCTCTGACAAGAAGTGACATTGCATGAATTAAAACATTGGAATCTTCCCAAGAAACAATTGAAGAATTTACAAATGAAAAGAATAAAGGTAAACTAATTACAGTGCTTGTTCTTCCCCTCACCAATCAATTTACCTTTTCACATCAAGCCAATTTAAAGAGCAAATTTCCCTAATCCACTTGAGGTTTTTGACATTATACTTAACAATGTTTATATAGCACATTAAAATTTTATAATTTATATACGTTATTATTTGTCATGTAAAAATTACCAAAAATTATAGTAGTCCAGAACCAGTAAATAATTTCTTTAAAAATTGGGTATGTTTAACAAGTCTTCTATCATAAGAGCCATCATTTTGCTAATGATATTTACAGAATTAGATTCAGAGCTCAAAAGAAAAGAAGAAAGAAGAAATAATCAGTTTGAAGATGCTATCATTTTGGAAAAGGTCATCATCTGATGCAGAACAGAATGAAGTTATGTTATGATAGTTCTGTCAATTGTGTTCATTCTATATACGTAGAAATTTAGAATCTACGAGGCTAACTAGGAATTTATTCTAGTTTTTCCCTTTTGGTGTTAGGATATATTATTTCTTGTCTACTTCCAGTTTTTAATATGATGTCTTCTGTTTTTCTAAATTATTGAATATCATCCAAACATATTTACTTGAATAGCTTTTGACAGATAATATTCTTGGAAGTGTGATTTTTGAAAATATATAATTATACTGTGAAATTCAAGGCAAATACCATAACCCTATCGATCTTAATGGATAAATATGTTTAA